GGTTTATAAAATAGAACATCTCTTTCTAATGACTTCACTGAAACGTAAGATACTAAGAGTATTATATTTATAACTTTACAAATGCAGATGGTGATAGTTTCGAATTTCATGGTATATTCAGCCCTTCCAACTTTTTATATTTTGTTTATCATACAGACAATGCTCCCGCAGTTGGAATCTATGGTTTCTCTGTGAGTTTTGATACATATATTCATTTGCTTACATAATGTGTTCCTTTTTTTTTTTTAAGATAGCAGTACCTGCGTGGCCGGTGTTGAGCATCGACCCATGTACCAAGGGGTCGCAGGTTCAATTTCCAGTCAGGGCACATGCCCAGTGGGGGGCATGCAGGAGGCGGTCAATCAATGTCCCCTAATTGATGTTTCTCTCTCTCTCTCTCTCTCTCTCTCCTTTCCTCTCTCTAAAATCAATAAAGAAAAAAATATATATATATATAAAACTAAAGATAGCAGAACCTCTATAACCACACAGATGAATACTTCCCATTTTCAACTTCATGTCTATTCTGAATTTCAGGAATAGAAAACCAGTTCACAGAGCGGTTTCCGCTTTAGCACACTTGCTTCCCACGGTCACCATGGTCCCATTAGGAGACACAGTGCCCTGTCCCTGCCGAGCCCCCACCTCCTTGCCTTCGCTGCCCTCACGTGAACACCATGGATGGCGCTCCCCCTTTCTCTGCCCGCCTCACACCTCTAAGTCTGTCCACCCTCTTCCCTTCCATGTCCCCAGGGAGGCCGTGTCCCTGTCTCTGCGCACAGGTGTGGTCCAGTGGCACCTCCTCGGACTCTCCGGGGAGACCTGCACAGTCAGTTTTGCTCTGACACCTCGTGCTGCGCACAGAGGGCCCGCTGGGTGTGGATTGAGCTGGTGCCTTTCGGTTTGAAACCACTGCGGTGAGAAAAGTATACCTGGCCGCGCACCTGGCCTTCAGGGCCCTTTCAGTTGCAAGGGACAGAGATGAGCGAAAGCAGAGAAGGGCGGAGGAGTCAGAGGTAGACTGTGCCACCGACTGGGGAATGCGTCTGGGGCCGGCGAGCAGCCCGCCGTGTGCCCACTTCTGTGCGGTCTCTGTCCTCCGTCGCTCTGCCCTCTCTGCGTGCGTCCTTCCCCCGCCAGCCCTCCCCTGCGCTCTCCGCTCGCTCGCCCACCTTGACCGAGGGCCCTGCTGTGGGCAGGCTGCGAGTCCTTCCGGAGTGGGCAGGAGACGGCCTGGCTGTTCGTTAATGTCCTCTATGGAAATTGCTCTGAGGGCCCATGAGTCGGGCTCCGTCGGCTGCTCCTGTCTTGTCTGTCTGTGACTGTCCGTGACAAAGAGCAAAGTGAGAACGAGGCAGCTGTGAACCTGGGTCGGCGGTCTGCGGGGAGATGAGGACCCCACGGGGGTCACGTGGGCAGATGCCGTTCTCACCGCCCTGTGTCTGGGCCGCAGGTAGACTCGCCAGCCTTCCGAGTCATGTTTGTCCTCTGCCCTCCCCCTGTGCTTCCTGGGCGAATTCAGTCAGGTAACCACTCGTGGGGTGGCATTTCCCTCTCGATTCTGGCCCTGAGCCACACCAGCCCGCCCCCAACAGAAGACAGACAACCATGGGGACAGTGGAGCCAGTTTGGGTGGGTGTGGAGCACACTGTCTGGAAGGCTGGAAGGAGGCTGCCGGGCTGGGTGGAGGTGGATGGAGGGCCCTGCCTTGGGAGGAGCCGACGGCCCCAGCCAGGGGCTGGTGGTCAGACAGTCAGGGTGGTCTCTGCTCTGGCCAGGGGCTGCCCCTTCACTCTTGGTGCCATCCCCTCTGGACAAGACGGGGGATAAAGTGAGTGGAGACATAGCTGCATCGTGAGCTGGAGGTGAGGGGCGGACCGCTCCTGTGTTTCTGAGTCGGCCTCGTGGCGGTGTCAGGGTGGAGGTTTGGGGAGTCCAGCCGAGGGGGACTCAGAGGAGGCCCTGCCGCAGTCAGCGCGGGGACTTGGCATGTGCTCGAGCGAGCAGTGGGCGCCCGCAGGTGCCGGCGGCGGCCGAGGGAGCTGGCCTGAGGAGTCGGTGAGGGTGTGCCGCACCCCGCGCCCATCAGCCCCATCTCTGGGGCGTGGGTCCGGAGGGACCGGCAGCATCGGGCCTGCTCACTTGCTGAGTGCTGCTCAGCTTCCCGGGAAGGGCCAGAGGGGGCTTAAAAGCCTTTCTTGGTGCGTGCTGAGCTCCCGTGGACACACCCTTATCCCTGAGGAGGTGAGCAGGCGTGGCCGGTTCACAGGCCAGAGATGGGGCTGCAGGAAGTGGGGGATGGGGCTGCAGAAAGTGGGGGGCAGAGGTCTGGAAGTGCGGTGCCGTGGGGCCCGCTCCCCAGAGTTGGAGGGAGAGTTCTAACTGGCCTTGTCCTGCTTCCCTGGGGCTGGGAGAAGCATCTCTGCAGCCAACCCGGAGTCACACCTGCCCTCCCTGTGTGTCCCAGGCACCATCACCTGGGGTCAGGCCCACCCTCCTCCAGGCTGACTCATCTCCCTCAAGCCTCACAGACTTGATGCCGAATGTGGCTCACAAGCTGCGGTGTGGGGCCAGGGTCTCAGCGCCTGCCCCTGGGGCACACGCACCCCAATACTTGTCCTGTGACTGAGTGCGAATGAGACCTCAGTAGCAGTGCAGGTGTCGCTCCATGCTGTCAGGGAGGGGGGGCGGTGGCTCAGTGTAGCTCAGGCACGTTGGAAGCCCCCTCCTAGGGTGCTGGGGCCGTGGGGAGTATGCGCTGTGCTCTCTGGGCTTCGGTGCCGCCCCAGCGATGGCAGCAGGGATCGGGGTGGGTTCTGCGCCTCCATGGAGACGGCCTGTGCTGGCGGTGTGTGCCCTGGCCGTGCAGCACTGTCAGCGGGCTCAGAAGGGCCTGTGTGGTGTGCCCTGCTCCTCAGACAGACACGCTCCTTCCTTCCCCCATGTGTCCTCTCCGCCCAGAAGAGGCCCCAGGCCCAGAGGCCTCCTTAGGTCCTGACAGTGTGGCTGACCCAGGGCAAGTCCCTTGGCCTCCCAGGGTCCTGGCTGCTGCCGGCCAGGACTTCTTGTGCTTTCTCCACACGCTCATCACACGTCACCGGTGTTTCTTGGCTCCAGTCTGTTTCCAGACCATTCCTGGGCTGTAGGTCATTAGGGCTGTGTGCAGCCCAGCCTTTCCATGGGCAAAGCCCTCGAGGCCCATGGAATCCGCCACAGCTCTGGGCGGGCGCTGGCTGTCTGGGGCGCCCTCAGGGGATGGTTCGTCAGCCCCCTGGCTCGGAAAGGCCCCCTGCGCCCGCTTCCTGGCCTCCTGGCGGGCTGCCTTCTCCCTGCTCAGCTGCTCGGGAGCCTCAGCGGTTTCCCGTCAGCTCTGAGCCGTCCTGGGTCTGGTGCCGTGGTCTCTGCCGCTCGGTGGCCTTCTTCCCAGGACAGACTTTGCGCTGTTGGCTGTCCTGCCTGCCTAGGAGGGGGCTTCTCGAAGTGGGGTCCTTGGACGAGCAGCGTCACCTGTGACTTGTTGGAACACTCCAATTCTAGAACGTTCAGTGGTGCCTGGAATGCCCCTCCCCAGCCTGCTGAGTCAGGCACACTGTGTGTGTGTGTGTGTGTGTGTGTGTGTGTGTGTGCGGTTCTGACCCAGCTCCTTCTCCATCCTTTGACCTGACTGTGAACTCAGGGTAAGTACCGGACGTCTGAATGCAGTTCATCCGGCCCTGCCCAGTGGCCACTGGGGCTGCTTTGGCCCAGTTATCTCTTCAGCTGCCCTGTGCGGAGTCCCCCTCACTGAAGCGGCCACTGATGGTGTGGCCCGGCCGAGGGCCTGGCGCAGGGACAGTGCGGGTCCTGCCGACCTCTGTGCCCCATCTCCGCAGGGAGCGCTGCAGTTTCACTTCTGCAGGGTGTGCAGGGTGGAGCTGGCTCCCTTAGGCCGGCTGCGGTCTGTGCGGGAAGCCCGCTGCTGCCCCCGAGGTGCTGCGCCCCCTGCCGGCTCCGCGTACCCCCGCTGCTGCCCCCGAGGTGCTGCGCCCCCTGCCGGCTCCGTGTACCCCGGCTGCTGCCCCCGAGGCACTGCGCCCCCTGCCGGCTCCTCGTACCCCCGCTGCCGCCCCCGAGGCGCTGCGCCCCCTGCCGGCTCCGCGTACCCCGGCTGCTGCCCCCGAGGCACTGCGCCCCCTGCCGGCTCCGTGTACCCCGGCTGCTGCCCCCGAGGCACTGCGCCCCCTGCCGGCTCCGCGTACCCCCGCTGCTGCCCCCGAGGCACTGCGCCCCCTGCCGGCTCCTCGTACCCCCGCTGCTGCCCCCGAGGCACTGCGCCCCCTGCCGGCTCCGCGTACCCCCGCTGCTGCCCCCGAGGCACTGCGCCCCCTGCCGGCTCCGCGTACCCCCGCTGCTGCCCCCGAGGCACTGCGCCCCCTGCCGGCTCCGTGTACCCCCGCTGCTGCCCCCGAGGCGCTGCGCCCCCTGCCGGCTCCGCGTACCCCCCAATCCCCGAGGCGGTGCGCCCCCTACCGGCTCCATGTACCCCCCCCCCCCCGCTGCCCCCGGCCGTGTGGCTGGCTGCAGACCCGCGTTCACGGAGCGTGGCGCTCGGACAGCGGCGGCTCCCGCGGCCTGCGGGTGGACCTCGGTCTGCGGGTGGACATCGGCCTGCGGGTGGACACCGGCCTGCGGGTGGACACTGGCCTGCGGGTGGACATCGGCCTGCGGGTGGACACTGGCCTGCGGGTGGACACTGGCCTGCGGGTGGACCTCGGTCTGCGGGTGGACATCGGCCTGCGGGTGGACACCGGCCTGCGGGTGGACATCGGCCTGCGGGTGGACACTGGCCTGCGGGTGGACACTGGCCTGCGGGTGGACATCGGCCTGCGGGTGGACACTGGCCTGCGGGTGGACATCGGCCTGCGGGTGGACACTGGCCTGCGGGTGGACACCGGCGGCTCCTGTCGCCACGCACTGCGCCTGCGGGCAGAGCTGCAGCCCTGACCTTGCCCTTGTCCCCGCAGCGCAGCAAGGATGAGGACGGGGACACGGCCGTGGCGGTGGAGCGGGACCACTTCATGGACGACTTCTTCCACCAGGTGAGGCCGTGGGCGCGGCGGTCAGACCTCCCGCCCTCCTCCGAGGTCGCTGCTGTTGGAGACGGAGTTCCCCCGAGGTGTGGTTTCATTAGCACAGCCCCTCCCGTCCAGCCGTTCTTGGTCCTAGGGAGCCGTGGGCGTGGGGAGGGACCCCGTTCGCTGAGGTTCTGCATGGGCGGGCCAGGGTGGCTGGGGCCAGTAGGTGGCGGGGGGCCGGCAGGTGGCAGGGGGCCGGCAGGTGGCCAGGGGGGCCGGCAGGTGGCGGGGGGCCGGCAGGTGGCGGGGAGGCCGGCAGGTGGCGGGGGGCCGGCAGGTGGCGGGGGGCCGGCAGGTGGCCGGGGGCCGGCAGGTGGCGGGGGGCCCCGCAGGTGGCGGGGGGCCCGCAGGTGGCGGGGGGCCCCGCAGGTGGCGGGGGGCTGGCAGGTGGCTGGCACCACCTCAGGTGAGCTCCCTCGTCGGTTTTGCAGACGTCCTCACCCAAGGCCAGCAGCGCTCCCTGACCAAGGGCCCCGGGGTCCTTTGGAAGGGGGCGTCCTGGGGGGGCGGGAGGCGGCCGAGTGAGGTGTGCCCAGCGTGCTCCCCGTTCACCCAGCTCCCGTTCACCCAGCGCCCGGGCCAGAGCCCGCAGCGTGTATTTTCAGTCTTGGATAGAGCTCCCAGCTCTTTTCTGGAGAAGTTCTGCAAACTCTGACTTCGGGCTAAGGGCCTGTGGGTTCTCTGCTCACAGGGGAAGGGTCACTGTGGGCGCTCAGGCTGACCTCTCGGGGTCCGCGCGGCCCCCACGCTGGAACTGTGCCCGCTGGCCGGCCGTTCCCGCTCCCTCTCAGGCCCCAGGCTCATGCCGTGTTTACATTCTTAAACCCAGTGTAGTCAGGGGTCACTTCTGCATGATTTTAGTTTTTGAAATTGAGCACAGAACAAGGGTTCTGGCTTTGTTCAACATGAAGCAGAGGCCTCAGCGTGGTGACACTGGGCCTTGGCTAAACATTGTCACAGCCCCGTAGGTTTTGCTGGTCAGTATTGATGGTTGTTGCCATAGTCATCACTTAATATGGTGCATATCTTCTTAATTTAAAAAAAAATTTTTTCCTTTATTGATTTAAAATTTTTTTTCCCCTTTATTGATTTTAGAGAGAGAGGAAAGGAGAGGAGGAGAGAGATAGAAACATCGATGGGAGAGAACGCTGATTGGCCGTCTCCTGCACGCCCCCCACTGGGGATCAGGCCCACAGCCTGGGCGTGCGCCCTGACCGGGAATGAACCAGTGACCTCTTGGTGCAGGGTCGACACTCAACCACTGAGTCATACCAGCTGGGCTATCTTCTTAATTTTTATTTATTTTAAATCCTCACCCGAGGATATTTTTCCATTTATCTTCAGATAGAGTGGGAGGGAGGGAGGGAGGGGGAGAGAGAGAGAGAAAGAAGGAGGGGGACACATTGATTGGTTGCCTCCCGCACAACCCCAATCATGGCTGGGGACGAACCACAACTGAGGTACGTGCCCTTGACCAGGATCACTGGCCCCGCGGGCCGACGCTCTAACCGATGAGCCAAACTGGCCAGGGCTGGTGTGTATCTTTTTAATCAAGTGATTGTCAGTGTGGGATGGGAAATGGCTTTATTTTCTCGTGTGTCATTACTCACCCACGTCCCTCCGTCATCCTTCCCTTCCTAGCCATGGGAAGTTAGAATCTGCCCCACGGTGATGACCCTCTCTCCCCCCTAGGTCGAGGAGATTAGGAACAGTATATATAAAATCGCTCAGTATGTGGAAGAAGTGAAGAAAAACCACAGCATCATTCTTTCTGCACCAAACCCGGAAGGGAGTAAGTTGTGTCTGTCTGTCCGTGTGCCGGTCTCTCTCACTGTGGGTCACACAGGCCTTGGCCCTTGCTGGAGCTTGTCAGACACTGGTCCCAGCAGCCGCTCCTCGGGCGTGGGCTCCTACAGCACCCGCGTCTGGGTGCTCAGCTGGGCGCCGCTGCGGGAATACCCAGACGCCACCCATGAGCCAGGTGCTAGTCCAGCAGAGAGGCTCTGTGGAGCTCCGGTCCGGTCAGGGACGCGGGTCCGCATTGTGTCCACTGTCGGACAGGAAGGAGGGTTTGTGTCCAGATGGACACTGAACAGGGATTGGTTCAGAGGACACTGCTGGCTGGAGCAGGTGCAAAGGTGAGCAGACGGGAAGGATTTCCCGCCTCAGCAAGGCGGGGCGTGGAGTGTGCCGTCCTGGGGTCCCTGAGGGTGGTACGGACGCAGCTGATTTTAAATGAACCAGCGTCAGGGTGTGAACATTTCAGGGGAGGTGCTCCCCTGACCGCGGTGAGTTCGGAGACTGTGAGGGTGGGTCTGCTCCGGCGGTGTCCCTGCTGCACGGAGCCCGCGTCCCTGGGCGCGTCCCTTCCCCTCCCGTGCGAGCCCTCATTCGTCCCGGAGAAGGCTTCTCTCACGTGGGCAGCGAGACTGCCCGCCAGCACCCCACGGACAACCCCCGCCCGCAGGAGCGTTTCTGCAGACGCACGCACACTCGAACATCCGCCGGATACCGTGCCATGGACCTTTACTGGCCATTACCGATGCTGGACAATGTCGCTCACAACTTTTTTTCTTTTCTCATTTTAAAGAAATAAAAGATGAGCTTGAAGATCTGAATAAAGAAATCAAGAAAACTGCCAATAAAATTCGCACCAAGTTAAAGTGTGAGTTTAAAGTTTGGGCTTTTGTTTTATCCTGGATGGTGGGCCTGTAGGTGGTTATCATTTTTTTCTTTATACTTTTTTATTCTTTTATATTTTAAGAAAGTTAAAACTGTGAGCAATGAAATAAACCTGTAGGTATGTACTTGGGGTAGTAAGTCTTTTTTCAAAGTTCTTCCTCATCCTAGATGTTTAACACCAGCTCCAGGGACTGCGTAGCTGTCTGTTAGCCTTAGATTCGGGGAGGGCGCTAGCTCGCAGACCGCTGATCTCCGAGGGGCAGAGGTTACCACGCTTGTCTAAGCGCTGGCATCGGGAAGGTGGGTCCCGAGGCACCTGTTAGCCAGCAGGTGTTCAGAGCCTCTGGTGCCTGCATCTGGGGGTGTGGGTCCACCGCCGCGCGACAGCCACGCTTTGAGCGGCTACGCTGTCCGTAGGACGCAGACAGAGGGGGCAAAACACACATTATACTTAATTCCACAAACTAGCATTCAGGTCGGAAAGGACTTGGTGTTACGGCACATTTCTGCCCTGTCTGGAAACAGGGAGGTGACGGACTGGCACAGCCCAGCGGCCGCTCCTGCCCCGCACGGACGGTCCGGACGCCCAGACCCCGGTGGCGTCGCAGGACAGGGTTCAGGGTGTGTTTCTGGGTGAGGGCCGCGTGCTGTGGCTGGCGCCGTGTCGCTCGAGGTTTTAAAGTGCCTCTTCCCCAGAGCACTGTCCGTTTGGAGACACCAGGACGTTTGTCCGTCAGCATGCCAGGCTCCGGGCTTGCGGCGCTCACCCCGACGGGCGCCCAGCAGGGCTCAGGTTGTTCTTCCTCTTAAATGTTAACCCAGAACATCTGGTTTTATTTTATGATATTATCAGCAATGGATGATTATTATTGAGATCCAAACATTTACTAGGAGTTGAAAAGGTAAGAAGGAAGAGAGTTTTGACGTTGGACTCGTCCATTTTTAGCTGAAAGGTGACTCTCCCGTTTGTTTCCAGCCATCGAACAAAGTTTGGCTCAGGATGAGGGCGGGCAGCGCACCTCCGTGGACGCCCGGATACGGAGGACCCAGGTTAGACCGTCAGCTCCCCGGCAGCAGGGATGTCGGAACAGCTTCGTGCCTCTTTTCCGCTGCCCGATAAGGTCACCTCGCTGTAGAGGAACCTCCGGTTTGTGCGCTAAAAAGATGCAGTCTTCGTTGATTGATCACCTTGCTGTCAGGAAGACCTGACCCTGCCCGACAGCGGAGGCTGAGCACGAGGCTCTGGGGACAGAGCTGGGCTGGGAGCGGGCGGTCGGCTGCTACCGTGGTGGTGACCTGACTTCTCCCGGCCTTCCCTCTGAGTGGGGTGGTGATTGTGGAATCAAATCAGACAATACACGGAGAGTTCTTTCTTTTGGTTAATCCTCACCTGCGGATATTTTCCTATTGATTTTTTATTTTTGGAGAGAATGGAGGGGTGGGAGGAGAGAGAGAAACATTAATTTGAAAGAGACACATCGATTGGCTGCTTCCCGCACAACCTCAAAAGGGGCCGGGGATAGAACCTGCAACCCAGGTACGTGCCCTTGACGGAACTGAACCCTTGACGCTCTGGTCCTTGGACTGATGCTCTGACCGCTGAGCCAAGCCGGCCAGTGTGCATGGAGAGTCCTCAGCATAGATTCTGTTATGGAGGAAGTGGCTATCTTTTTTTTTTTTTTAAATATATTTTTTAGAGAGAGGAAGGGCGAGAGAAACATCAATGTGAGAGAGAAACGTCGATTGGCCACCTCCTGCACGCCCCCTACTGGGGATCGAGCCCACAACCCGGGCATGTGCCCTGACCAGGAATTGAACCGGGACCTCTCAGTCCAGGGGAGGATGCTCAGTCCACTGAGCCATACCAGCCGGGCAATTGCTGTCATTCTTATTTTCCCTTTGAAAGAGTAGCTTAATAGTTTGAATTTTCATAATGGGATGTTTTTATATATCTCTTTCAACAGAAGAAATGAGCCCGGCTGGTGTGGCTCAGTGGTTGAGCGTTGACCCTGCACCAAGAGATCGCTTGTTTGATTCCCAGTCAGGGCACATGCCCAGGTTGTGGGCCTGACCCCCAGAGGGGGGCGTGCAGGAGGCGGCCGGGTGATGTTCTCTCTCATCAATGTTTCTATTTCTTTCCCTTCCTCTCTAAAATCAATAAAGATAAAGTATAAAAACAAAAAGGAGTGACGTTGCACGTTGACCTGGTTTTCACTGTCCCTAGCATTCGGTGCTGTCTCGGAAGTTCGTGGAGGTCATGACAGAGTACAACGAAGCGCAGACCCTCTTCCGGGAGCGGAGCAAGGGCCGGATACTGCGCCAGCTGGAAATAAGTGAGTGGACGCAGCGCCTTCGTTAGGAGCGCGGCTGTCTGAGGGCTGCCCCCCTCGCTAGGAGCGCGGCTGTCTGAGGGCTGCCCCCCTCGTTAGGAGCGCGGCTGTCTGAGGGCTGCCCCCGTCCGAGCATGGTGGCTCCGGCAGAGCCGTCCGTCTGTCCTGCCTACGCAGTGAGACTCGGCTCCTCCCAGTTCCCGCTGGGGGGCCCACCGCGCCTGCCGCCCATGTGTCCTGCAGGGATGCGGCCGCGGGTCTTCACCTTGCTCTCTGATTCCCAGTCGCGTGCCCAGTCCTTCCTGCCCCGCTGGGCAGGTGGCTCTCCGTGGGCTTAGGGTTCTGCTCTCTGGGGAGCGGCACTGACCCCCCACTCCAGCCTGTCTTGCGAGGGCGTCTGTGTAGCCCGCGTCTCCCCGCAGAGGGGGTTTGCTCGCCCACCATCCAGGATCCGGGGCCTCAGCTGTGACGCACCCTGAGGGGCAGCGTCCTCAGCTGCGAGGATGGGGTGCGGCCCTGAGCGGGAACCTCACTAAGCGCCCTTTCAACAACTTTGGGGGACATGACTAAAATGCCACGTGGGTGGCGCAACACCCCCACGTGTGCCCAGGTCAGAAGTAGGTTCACAGTTCGTAGGGAAAATCACCAGAATCCGTCAGTGAATGATAGTCCAGTAAGTTGCATCCCACAGAGTCGCACTGGAAGCCCGCTCCCGCCCCACCCTGTGCGTTCGTGCAGCCCATTGGAGAGCGTTCCCATCACTCCGGGTGGCGCTGGTCCCCCGGTCAGTCCCTGGTTCCCTGCTCTGAGCCCAGGCACCCAGCGACCTTTCATCGCGATCCGCCTGTGCTGGGCAGTGCGTACACACGGAGTCACGGCACGTGGGCGTCGTGGCCGGCCTCTGCCACGAACCCGCATGTCAGGTCGACCACACGGCAGGCGCCCGCTCCATCCCTGTGTGTGGCCTGTCGGTCCCTGCTGGGCGGCCACGCTCGTCTCTGTGCGCCGGGGCCCGGGCTGCGTCCAGCGCCTGGTGGCTGTGAGTGCGGCTGCCGCCACCGTGCACGTCCAGTGATATTCAGTCACTATAACGGTCATCCGTCTTGTCTCTTGTGGCACAGACGGTGGAGAATAGCCAGGGTCAGTTTGTTTTTTCTTTTTTCTTTTTTTTTTATCCTCACCCGAGGATATTTTTCCATTTTTTGTACAGATAGAGTGGGAGGGAGACAGAGGAAGGGAGAGAGAGGGAGAAACATCGATGTGAAGGGACACATCGAGTGGCTGCCACCCGCACGACCAACCAGGGCCGGGGACAAACTGCAACCGAAGTACGTGCCCTTAGCGGGAACCGAACCCGGGTCTCTCCGGACCGCAGGCTGAAGCTCTAACCGCTGAGCCAAACTGGCCAGGGCCAGTTTGTTTTTTCTTAGAGCACGTTGACCCGTGAAGCTCAAGGTAAAATACTGAGGACCACACGTGGATTCCCATCCGCGTCTGTCTGTGTTTAGACACTAATAACCTGCTGCGCTCAGCCGGCCCTTCCCGTGAGCCAGGAAGACAGACGTGCTGCAGCTTATGTGCCCGTTTCCTCTTGTGGTGGTTTCTCCTTCATGCTGAGAGTAGATGTTACTTTTCATTCCAGTCAGAAGGGTTTTCATGAGCGTTTTCCAGTTCTTCCCAGTTCTCAGTCTCTCCTCAGTGCCTAAGGGGCTACGCTCGAAACATTGTTCACACTGTTAGCGGCTCAGCTTTCGGTGGCTGGCGTGGGGGTAAAGCCACACTTAGCTGTGGTCGCAGTCTGAAGGGGGCTTTCCCTGTCCACGCGCAGCTGGGAAGACGACCACGGACGCCGAGCTGGAGGCCATGCTGGAGAGCGGGAGCCCGTCGGTGTTCACCTCCGACGTGAGTGTGCGGCGTCCCCCGCGGCGGGCCCGCGTCCGCAGCAGCCCCTCACCGGGCTTCTCTCGCTCCTCAGATCATCTCAGACTCACAGATCACGAAACAAGCGCTGAACGAGATTGAGTCGCGCCGCAGGGACATCCTGCGGCTGGAGACCAGCCTCCGCGAGCTGCGCGAGCTGTTTGTGGACATGGCCGTGCTGGTGGAGACGCAGGTGAGCGCGGCCCCTCCGCCGCCCGGCCAGCGGCTTGGGAACCCGCCCGGCTGGCCGCAGCGTTCCTGGGAGGCCGTTGCTGGGCTGCGGCCTCGGAACTCAGAAGTCAGTGCAGTGTCGCTGAGACGCGAGACTGAAGTGCTGTGAGCAGCTTGAACGTGCGTGGTAGGAGCTGACCTAGGTGACCGGGTGCTGACGTGTTCACGGAGGATTCTTAATGGAGTATGCAAATGTTGTGCTGGGATTTTAAATTAAGAGGGAGATATAAACCCGTGTGTGTGTGTGTGTGTGTGTGTACATATATATTTTTTAAATCCTCACCTGAGGATATTTTCCCATTTATCTTCAGACGGGGGGGAGGGGGAACATTGATGTGAGAGGGACACTGACCGGTTGCCTCCCGTACGACCCCGACCAGGGCCGGGCACCGAACTGCACCCGAGGTGCGTGCCCTTGACCAGAATCGAACCCGTGACTCATGGTACGCAGGCCGATGCTCTAAACACTGAGCCAACCTGGCCAGGGCCTTATGTGTGTATATATTCACACACGTGTATAAGTAAATATACACGCAGTACACATACGTGTGCACATGCCACGAGCTCGGCGACGTGGAAGTCGTCACAGCAGGGAAGAAACACACAGACGGTATAGTGAGCACGGGCGGGGGCGTCCGGTTTCATTCTCCGGACTCTGTGTTCCTACAAGGAGCACACGTTGGAGTGACGAAGGCGTGGGGAAGGGAACGAGCCCGGAGGAGCCCCCCCCCCCCCGTGGGCGGAGAGCCTGGAACTGGCACGTGTGCGACCTCGTCCAGCACACGGGGTGGAGGGTGGGCAGGTGGGCAGGTGGGCACGACCCTGTGAGAGGCTGAAGCGTTGGTGCAGTTCTGGGGAGCTCCGTGGGGTTCAGGTGAATGCAGCCGCTGCACTGTCAGGCGTGGGGCGTCGGCACCAGCCCCCGTGACGCTGGGTCAGCTGCGTGTCATCCGGGGGTGGGCAGGAACCGGCCCCTGGAGGCCCCGCCTGGCCGTTCATTTGCCGTGACGGCCTGGGCAGCAGGGGGGCCCTGAGGCGCAGGGCTCGGGCCCCAGAAGAACACTGTGTTTTGAGGAGCTTGACCTTGGACGTGTGTGTGGATGCGGGGGGACCAGCGAGCACGGGGGTCTGACGCGGGCGGGCCTGCGGCCGTTCGCGAGGGGCCTGCAGCTCGCGTGGTCAGGACGTGTCCCGAGGGGGGACCAGCGAGCACGGGGGTCTGACGCGGGGGGGCCGGCGGCCGTTCGCGAGGGGCCTGCAGCTCGCGTGGTCAGGACGTGTCCCGAGGGGGGACCAGCGAGCACGGGGGTCTGACGCGGGGGGGCCGGCGGCCGTTCGCGAGGGGCCTGCAGCTCGCATGGTCAGGACGTGTCCCGAGGGGGGACCAGCGAGCACGGGGGTCTGACGCGGGGGGGCCGGCGGCCGTTCGCGAGGGGCCTGCAGCTCGCGTGGTCAGGACGTGTCCCGAGGGGGGACCAGCGAGCACGGGGGTCTGACGCGGGCGGGCCGGCGGCCGTTCGCGAGGGGCCTGCAGCTCCGCGTGGTCAGAAAGTGTCCGGAGGAAGCAGCCCGGCCGGAGAACACCGAGCTCTCTGAGGGCGAGACTCCGCCTTGGCCTTCGGTCACCCGCCTCCTGCCAGAGGGGCTGCGTGGGCCCGTTGGAAATCACTGCGCTTGCCGCCCGCGGTTTCCTCGGAGAATCTGTTGTGTTGCAGCAGGTCTAGTGCGGAACACGTAGTGGAAGCAGCGAGTGTCCGCTTGAGAACAAACCAGTCACTTGTCCTCTCGACGCCTGCGCTGCGCGGCGACTGCTGGGCGAAGGAGAGCAGGTGCCGGCCCCCCGCCACGCGCCACCCCCGCCCGCTCACCTGCTCAGTGTCGGACGCGAGCTCGCCCTGGTTTACCCACATTGTAAAGAAATTGCAGCGTCTGCCCGTAGAAAAGCTGTCATCCTGTCCCTGTGTCTGTGCTGCCGTGAAATCCGAGTTCAGCCTCGAGCACCTGCCTCCCTTCTCGGCTCGTCCTCCGAGCGCTGGCCGGGGACGCACGCCGCGCACCCGCCGGGCCTGCCGCTGGTGACCCGTGCTCTCCTCCCCGTTCCCCCCCCTCTGTCTTATTTCTATTTCTTTGTTTTGTTTTTTTAATCCTCACCCGAGGACACTTTTTCGTTTATCATCAGATGGAGCGGGAGGGGGGAGGGAGGGAGAGAGAGAGAAACATCGACGTGAGAGAGACACATCCACCGGCCGCCTCCCGCACAACCCGACCAGGGCCGGGGACAAACTGCAACCGAGGTGCGTGCCCTTGACCGGAATCGAACCCGGGACTCACTGGTCCGCGGGCCGACGCTCCAACCGCTGAGCCAAACCGGCCAGGGCTCTTTCAGTTCTTTTTAAAGTAGCCATTGACTTTGATTCCTTTGTATTAGTGCCTTTGTAACGGTCTCATCGTTCTGTGAATGTCGGAAACCATATCCATTCCATGCTCGCCGTGAGGTCTGAGGACGCGATGACGCCAGCGTCTAAGTGTGAGACTCTGTTCGCAGGGCGAGATGATCAACAACATAGAGAGAAACGTGATGAGCGCTGCCGACTACGTGGAGCAGGCCAAGGAGGAGACCAAGAGAGCCACCAAGTACCAGAGCAGAGCGCGGCGGGTGAGTGCGTCCTCCTCCTCGCTGTCTCCAGCGGTCATGCTGATGTGAGCGACTCCGCGGGTGTTCCAGGCAATAAAACTTCCTTAACGTTCTGGTTTCAAACGCAAGTAATTCTTTTTGCTGAGAAGCTTGAAGTTTGTTGGATAAATCACGTTGACCGTGAACCCGTCTGTGTTCTTAGTGATTACGACCCCTCACAACCGGGGTCCCGCGTCCCCCTTTCCTAGGTTGGATCTGGTTCATTCCAGGGTTCTCTGTTTCTCGGGTCATTATTTGGAGGGAAACAAACTAAAGGGATCGGAAATTCTCCTAAAACCCAGTGATTACACAGCCTTTGCCATGAACACGTGATTCTCAGGCATTACTGTAGGCTGGGCCTGAGGTGCTGCGCAGCGTCCCGGTCACGCTCTGCGATGAGACGGAGTGTTTCTGCCACACGTGCATGAGTGTGTGCGCGTGCACACGTGTGTGCACATATGTGTGCATGTGCACGTGTGCGCACATGTGTGTGAGCGGAAGCTCTCCTAGGAAAACAGCGGGAGCACGCAGTGGCTGCGATGGGGTCGGGCGGTGTGTGGGCGCCATGGCGTCCTTGCCCCCAGTCCCGCTTCTCCTTCGACCGACCAAATCCAGGCTTTCCGGGGTGCCAGCCTCCTCCTCCCCCGACAGCCGGCTGCCTGCCGGCTCGGGGCCGGCCTGGGAGGGTCCAGCCAGCTCAGCAGAGGCCTGGACCAGAGAACTTGCAGGGTCCGGACAGCGAGGAGCGGGCGCCCCGTGCAGACGCACCTGTGGTGACGTCCGGCCTCCCCGGGGCGCTGTCAGCCCCGCCTCCCTCGCCAGCCCGTGGCAGGTGCTCGTGGTCCCGGGTGTGGTGCCGCTCCCGTTGCTTTGGGTTATCACTCGGTCGGGCGCTGAACCTCGAAGCAGCGCGAGGGGACGAGGCCCTGGTGCAGCCCTGTCTTCCCTGGGAGAGCCGTCCGCGGAGCCTGCGCGGCGTGTGGGTCTGGTGGACAGTCCCAGGGCTCACTGGTTCAGGAAGGTGAGGGGTGCACCTGCCGGTCAGCCGCTCTGGGAGCCGGGTCTGTGCCTCACCTGGGTGCCGGCTGTCGAAAATGTGGCCCAATTGGAAGGCTGCTGCTCTCTGCTCTGAATGTCCGACAGCCACGACCGCGCTCCTTCGGCTGGGGTGCTGCCGCGTCTCCGTCCCGCAGGGGCTGGCTGCCCTCCTGTCCTCCCGCCTTCTCCCCTGCAGCTGTGGCCCCCGAGAGACCAGGGGTCTGTGGGGCGGGAGCAGCACGGGGTCTAACGGCCAACAACAGAACGAACATCTCGCGGGCTGGGCTGGCCGATAGCTCTGAACGGGAACCGGTCAGTTCGCCAGGAGCTGATCAGACGGTGTGATGGTGCAGGCCCCTCACTGCCGACACCGGAACCCTCTGCCCCGAGGACTCTGGCCTCACATGAAAAGTCACTCTTTCCGAGAATAAGAACTGTCCGAGGGAATCAGTCGGGCGTCCTGTAACGGCGATGTAAACGGGTTCTGGTGGGCGGTTGCAGTTGAGCCGCGTGCGGCCTCCTGCGGCGGGAGACCAGCCTCTCTCCTTTGGCAGAAGAAGTGGGTGATCGTGGCTGCGGCTGTGCTGCTGGTCGCCCTGCTCGTCCTGGTCATCGGCCTGTCCGTCGGCAAGTGAGGCGTGGACAGCGTCAGCGCCGGCCCTGCGTCGCGGCGGTAAGTGCCGGTGCCCTGCCCTGCGCCTGCCCCTCTGCCCAGACCACACGCCTGCCCAGGCCCTTGGCGCCCTCCCGAGCGCCGGGCTGCCCGCCCCTCACGTCTAGGCCAGGCCGCCTCCCGTGGTTCACGAAAGCGCCTGGGTTCCCTGGTGCCACGGGGACGGGAGGCAGACAGCAGCACCTGTCTCCCGGCGTCCTGTGTTCTAAACTGTTTTTTTTTATCCTCACCTGAGCACATTTTTATTTGATATTTTGTTCAGACAGAGTAGGAGGGAGAGAGAGAGAGAAACATCGACATGAAAGGGACACATCGAGTGGCTGCCTCCCACATGACCAACCAGGGCCGGGGACAAACTGCAACCGAGGTACGTGCCCTTAGCGGGAACCGAACCCGGGTCTCTCTGGACCGCAGGCCGACGCTCTAACCGCTGAGCCACGCCGGCCGGGCCATCCCCTCTCCCCCACCGTCCTCTGCGTCCCGCCTGGGAAGACGGTCTCCCTCCCCGCAGGGCCCTGCTCCAGGCGTGGGAGCCGGAGCCATGGAGTTGACTCCAGTGGAGAACCTGACACTTGATGTTTTAGTTCATCTCTCAGACCTGAGCTTTCTGAACGACTGCAACAGCCGGCGCTGTTCTGTGAACTAGATTCGCTCCTCGTTCTACTGGAGCTAAAGCTGGGAACATGCAGCGAGAGCAGCCCCCCAGCCCTCCATCCGCTGTGTAGGGAGCCGCCCTTGAGTGAGACCTGGGGTCAGCTGGGGTCAGCCTGCGTCAGCCGGTCTGAGCGGGAGGCACGCGCGCCCTCGTCTGTCCGCTGGCTGGGGGAGGGTCGCCTCCCTCTGGGCTCGGCTCCCTGGGCGGGTGCACAGCTCACAGGGGCCTCAGGGCAGTCTGTGGTGTTAGGTGTGGACAGACCACCACTCCTCCCGAAGGGCCTGCCCGCAGGATCATCACCCCAGGGCGTCCTGGCTGCGGCAGTAGCCCTGGAGGAGTCTACCCCTGTTGTGGAAGTGACAGGGACAGACCGGGCACCTCGTTTGGAGAAGTGAGGTGCACAGGCCTGGTGGCCGTGTGGCTGGGTGGCCTGGTGGCCGTGTGGCCAGGTGGCCCGGTGGCCCACGCCCTCGGGTTTGGGTGGTTTCTGGGTGTGAGCTCAGCCTCGGGAGAAGCCTCCCAGTTTGTGCCCCTTCCAGCCGGGCTTCTCCCCTCCCCCGCCGGCAGGCTCCTGGGGGACCCTCGGTTTCTTACACCAAAGGTTCAGTGTTCGTCTGTGCACGGACGCTCGTCACCAAACAAAAGTTGAATGCTGTGTGGTCTGCTCCTGGCCGCGGACGCAGTGGGCGCTGAGTTAACAGACCACTGACTCTGACTCGTGCATCATACCACGACGTAAACACGTGGGAATGAGATCTTCCCAGCAAACGATGGTAGAGCCACGCAGACCTTTACGAAGCTGCGCACCCGCGACAGCACTGTGGGAGCTCACTGTGACCAGCGGGCGCTGACCTGGGGAAGCACACGGTGCCAAGGGCGCGGGCCCGGCCCTGCAGGAGCACAGGGCTGTTTCAGAAAGACACCTTGTAGTTCCTTTATTTATTTACTTAATTTTTTGAAATCCTCACCCGAGGATACTTTTCCATTTATCTTCAGACAGAGTGGGAGGGAGGGAGGGAGAGAAACATCGATGTGAGAGGGACACATCGACTTCGACTGGCTGCCTCCCACAGGACCTGGACCAGGGCCGGGGACGAACTGCAACCGAGGCATGTGCCCTTGACCGGAATCGAACCCGAGACTCACTGGTCTGCGGGCCGACGCTCTAACCACTGAGACAACCGGCCAGGGCCCACCTGTAGTTTATTGATTCAGTTTCATGTGTGCGTGTCTGTCACGTAGTGTTCTGCCTGTGAGTGTCCCTTCTCGCCCTCGTGTGGGTGACCTGTGGGTCCCTCCTTGAAACGGCGTGTGATTCACATGACCTCCAGGTGCAAGGCAGAGGCAGGGACCGGCGGTTTCTTTCCCTCGGTACCTTGCAAAGTAATTAGTGTTTTTCTTTATCTTGCAGAAAATGATGTTCATTATCATTTGTGTAGTTATCCTTGGAATTGTCCTAGCAGCAACATCGCCATAGCAACCACAGCTCGAGGCCCATGGCCCTGGGAGGCAGCCCACACCTGCGGCGAATCGGCACCCCGTTCCCCGAGGGGGCCCAGACAGCGTGACGTGTGGCACCCAGTGCTGACTCTCTAGGGGAACACAAGTGTCGTTCGGTGAAGACCTGGAAGCTTCCGGAAGGATGTGACGAGTTACCCAGACATCCTCGGACTCAGGGACACGGCACAGACCTCGCGCAACGTCACACTTGTTCCGCTGGCCTTAAAATAAGGAATTACTGAAATTTTCAATTTTTTTTTTTTATATTTCAGTGTTAAGAAGACGTGTGTAAAGTTTAATTAGGACTGTTTTATGTTCTGAAGCCGTTAGATTTCATCCGAGACCGTCTTCCCTCCCTCCTCCCCGCCGACCAGCCAATTAAGAGGCATTTTGTACTGTTTTAATTTGTGTGTGTTTATTGTTTGCATAAATAATTTTTATTAGCACAGAGCTGTTTTGTAAGATATCTATGATTTTAAATGTTTATAAATTAACTTTAATATATTAACACCTTAATTTACTCCATTTTTTTATATATTAAATGTTGCCTTTGGAAAGAAATAGGGGCTTCCTGTCAGAGCCGTTGGCCGATGTTTACAGTCCGCTGTCTGCGTGGATGACGGCGGCCGCACCAAGCGCCCGTCTCGGGCCCCGTCGCGGTGTCTATGAGGTGGCAGGTGCCCGAGGCCCACACAGTCCCGGCCCCGTCTCGGCCGTCCTCTGCCCGCTCCAGTCCCCAGACGGCAAATCCGTGACTGTGCTGTGGGGACCACGGTCTCTGCTCACTGACACAAGGCCTGGGTGTCCCGTTCACATCAGCAAAGCGACGCGGAGGCGGCGCCGGGGACCGAGACCACCGCTCTCTCCACTCAAGGAAGTTATTTCCAGACACCAAGTGATTCTTCTCGACGCAAACCATTGTGCAGATCACGTCAGTGTTCTCGTTAGAGACCAACCGTGGGGCCGGACTTTACAAGTTGTTTCCCAAAGCTCGTAGGAGTCTGTGATAATGGAACATTTTTATCGCTCATGAATGTTTTTATTATAACCACACGCTTTGGACTTGCGAAATGTATGAATGTTACAAGTGAATGCCCATCAGCAACTGGCTCACATTTTAAATGCAGGACACACCGGAGAGAGTGACCCCTGGTGGTTTCTGGCCTGGCTGTGGACGCATGTGGCCACGTGGCCACACCATTCGGTTTGAGGACGCGCAGAGATACCCGGTTCCACACGGTGCGAACTGTGTTCCTTAAGACAATTACGAATCCCACTCACTCATAATTTGTACAGCTAACTGCTTAGCTACGATCCAAGTCTGCGTTTATGCGTTTTACCTACTTGCTGATCACTGCCTACCAGTCTCTCAGGGGCCTCCAGCATACACTTGGAAGGCCTTTAGCGGTCTGCCCGCGGCCAGCTCACGAGGGGCCTGCGCGGGGCCCGAACTCGTCTCGGGGATGTTTGCCGAGAGATCATGCTTGTGCTGATGT